GGAATGTCACATGTTTTGCAGAAACACTGGAGCACATATATAGTGGAAGATGATTTCAGGTTCATCTCCGAAAGCGGGCTGACCGCAGTGAGAATACCAGTGGAATGGTGGATCACTAACGACCCTAGACCTCCTGCACCCTACGTTGGAGGTTCACTTGAAACCTTGGACAAGACATTCAAATGGGCAGAGTAAGCAACCATCAGAAACTTGTAATCTAATGGTGCTAAATGTAAGAAACCAATGATCGGCTCAACTGCCAGAAATTTCAGGCCGGGGCTTGACCTTGGCATCATCTTGAGCAAACTAAAGCTTCCATTATCTAATTACATTTTGGCCAGGGGTTAATCCTCCTTTTTCTAAACATCTAATAATTTCAGGGAATATTTGGCTTTCTAAAAGTTCAATTTATGTGCATGAACAGGAAGTACAATCTGCGCGTCATCATTGACCTACACGCAGCTCCTGGGTCGTCGCAAAACCCCTTCGAGCATAGCTCCTCCAAGGACGGTTCACAAGACTGGGGCACCACTGATGCTAACATCACAGAAACCGTGCAAGTGACAGATTTCCTCGCATCCAGGTACAATAAAAGTCCAAGCCTCCTCGCTATGGAGCTGATGAACGAACTGGTTGCGCCCGGGGTGTCCCTGGAGAGCCTGGAAACGTACTATCGCGACGGGTACAACGCCGTCAGGAAGTACTCGTCGGAGGCCTACGTGATCATGTCCAACCGTTTGTCATCCCCGGACCCAACAGAGCTCCTCGGGCTCGCCGGCGGATTACCCCGATCTGTCATCGACGTGCATTACTACATGTTGTTCAACAACATGTTTGATACTTTCACCGTTCAATAGAACATTGATTTTATCAAGACCACCTACTCAAGCGCTCTCAGTGTTGTCACGAAACAAAATGCTCCTCTCAGCTTTGTAGGTGAGTGTAACTAATATTTTGGCCCCTTTTGGTTTTGGAGCATGTATATTTTTTGTCCCCATTTCTACAAGAATTTAGCGAAAATATATGATGTGTCATGGATGACATGTTCTCCACAGGCGAATGGGTGGCTGAGTGGTAGGTTCGCAATGCCACGAAGGAGGAGTTCCAAATGCTTGCAAATGCACAGATGGATGTGTATGGGAAGGCAACGTTTGGGTGGGCCTACTGGAATTTCAAGAATGTGAACAACCATTGGAGTATGGAGTGGATGATCAAAAATGGATACATCTCCTTGAAAAGCTAGGATATGTTTTCTATGTGTCATTACTCCTGACTCTTGAAATAAATTTGTAACGACTCATGAAATTAATTTCTAGAGCAATGGATACATCTCTAAGAAAATGATTCAAGTTGAATAAAAGTGTAGTATTTGGCCATTTGCAACACATGTCTCATGTGTATAAATATATATCTCCCTTTTCTCCATGATCTTAGGCTTGGGTGAACTGCTTGGTGCATGTAATTCAATATGGGATCAGAGTCTATGATAACTAGTTGATACCCCGCGCGTTGATGTGGGAACAACAATTAATTTGATGTTTAAAAACACGAGAAAGTTTATGGAAGGTAGTATACGTTGATGACAAAAATATTTTAAAGAAATATTGTTCAGAGTAAGCATCTAATTTTTTTTATGAAAAATCCAAAAATGAGTGTAATTTTTTTTCTGTTAATTTATTACCTTAACAATATACCGGCTAGGTGATATGAGACAAAAACAACGTTGAGTACAGACAGTGCAGACATCTCAACTCCTGGCTAAGCTAAAATAACAATATCAACTAAAGATGCACATTCATTAATAACATATCTCATATGGAAAAATAAAATGGGAGTTCACTCATAATTTGATTTTCTTTAAAAAACAAGCTCACTTTAAATCACGAGGCCTAGTATTGAGTAAATCATGCTTCTGACCACAATATACCGTGGTAGCTCTAATTCTTTTTGTTTGTCATGTCTGGTGTGCAGCCATGCATGCTTCGTTATTAGGTGAAGCTTTGTTTCATCATAAAAAAAATCCTGGTTAGCTCACTACAAAATGTGGACTATTTTATGATGTTTCACTTGTGTCATGTAACCAATTATGTTCACCAGGCTTGGACACTTTTTTCGGCCGTCACCCCCACCGTCACAGAAGCGCCATAGTCCTAATGAAGATCCTGCATCCCATCTTAACACTTTTCTGGTAGTCCTAATGAAGATGATGCATCCCATTCGTAGAATTGTGTGATATGCAAAAAAAAAGATGTGGACAATGATATTGTGAAATTAAAATTATTCCCGTTCTCATTGCGAGATCATGCACAAATTTGGTTCTCATCTTTGCCACGAAATAGTATCGATTCTTGGGATAGCTATAAAGATGCTTTTATCATCAATTTCTGGCCCGCAAAAATTATTTCCCTTAGAAATTAAATTATGAATTTCAAGCAACTTGAACATGAGCATGTTGCCCAATCTTGTGAAATGATGAAATTGATGATAATAAATTTTCCTGCACATGGTTTAAATTTATGGATGATCATACATAAATTTTATGCGGGATTAAATTATGTTTCTAGAAATCTCTTAGGTTCCACCGCGGGTGGTACTTTTATGAAAATTACTTTGGGAGAAGCTACTAAATTTCTTGATAATATTATGGCAAATTATTCACAATGACATACTGAAAGAGCTCCTACTAGTAAGAAAGTGAATTCGGTTGAAGAAATTAGCACTTTGAGAGATAAGTGATTCGCTTACGAAATTGGTTGCTAGTAAAAATGCTCCTATTGATCCTAATGATCTTTCTTTGTTCACTTTGATTGAGAACAATAATGACCCCGTAGACGTGAATTTTGTCTCGCGAAACAATTTTAATAGTAATGCTTATAGAGGTAATTTCAATCCTAGACCGTTTCCAGGAAATTCTTCTAACAATTATGGAAATTCCTATGGAATATCAAAGAATTTATTGATGCTCAAAAGTTTTTCATCACTACGATAGAGGAAAAATTGAATAAAATTGATGGTATGTCTAGGAGTTTTGTGAATTATTCATGATGTGGAAAGTCTCAAGACTAAAATTTTGCCACCCAAAATTGAAATTAATGAGTCAATTAAAGTTTCATATGTCTCTATGGATGAGAGTAAGAAAAGAACTGTTATGCTAAAGCGAGAATTTTTTAGAAAAAGCGTTTCCCCCCGATTTATATCTTAGTAATGATGAGGATATTAAAATGATTGGTGTTTCATTTATTGACTCTTTGTTTAGCAATATAAAACTTGATGAAAAGGGGACTGAATAAGAGTCAACTCTAGCTAGAAGGCATCCCCATAATTTAGAGGGTGAAATTTGTCGGATTAAGGGCTCCGCAGACCCTAGATAGATTCGAACTCTGGGGTGCGTGTGAAGAACTCAACCTTTCCAGTCTGCCAACTCGCCGATCTCATGGCCTAGCTCGATGAACTGGAAGGAAATGGGACACATCAGTTTACCCGGGTTCGGGTCACCTTGCGGCGTAAAACCCTACTCTTGCTTTGTGGTGGATTTGCCTCGAGGTGGGCTGAGGATGAACTAGTACAGTGGTAGAACCACCTCAGGAAGTGCGTTCTTGTACTGGTGTGGGTGTGGATGCTCTGAATGATCCGTCCTCCTCTATGGTGGTGGCTAGGCTATACTTATAGTGGCTTTGGTCCTCTTTTCCCAAAATGAAGGCGGGAAGGGATCCCACAACGGTCAAATTCGAAGGGAGACAACTAGTACATCTTATCTTGACGAAAGGTGGTCTGCGCCTGCAAAGCTTCTGGTCGTGACGCCGTGGTGGGTTCGGTGGTGAACTCCGTCCTGGCGGTCTTGGTCTTGTTGCATGGAAGTAGAAACCTTTGGTTGATTTCTCGGGACTCCGCTCCTGCGCTTGCCTCCTTAGCACCAAAGAAAAAAACTTCTGTACTGCGCCCGCTGGCGCCCGCCTGGCCTCAGTCGTCATGGCTTGCGTCATCGGAACCTCACGAGGTGAGGGATCGCATAGAAATCTACGCTCCTCAGGAGCTAGCCTAAGGAAGCCGCTCCTTCTGAAGGTCTTGGCGTCGTTCGCCTCGCGAGGGTCTTGTGTTGTTGCTGTTGAAGGTGGGCCATACCAGACCGTTGATGGAGCCACGCCGTGGGCCGCAGACAGGCAAGTTTGGGTACCCCGGTTCCCAGAACGCCGACAGTAGCCCTCGGGCCCAAGGCGCGCTCGGACTTGGCTTCGAGGCGAAGCCAAAGGGCAAGGGTGAACCGCCGAGGGCCCCAACCGCCTGCGGCCTCGGTCAATGCGTGGCGCTTGATGGAACGTAAGCGTCTACACTTCGGCCAGGAGATTCAGCGGCGACTCGAGGAAGACCGGCGAACGACCGCTACCGCTCGTTCTTCTCTGTAAGGAAGAAGGCGAAAACGTGTGTTGTACCTTCATCAGCGAGACCGCTAAAGATGAGCTCAGACAGGAGCATTCGCGGTTGCTCCAGATCGATCAATGGACACCCTAGTGCCAGTCGCGGCTTCAGGAATTTGCAACCGGATATTCATACGTATTCATTTGGCCAAAATCATTGTTGTTTCTTGAAATTGTCACTGTTTTGCCAAAATCAACACTGTTTTATAAAAATCATGGGTATTCACATGAAGACCCAAGAGTACTCCTAGCGCCGCCCCTGCCTAGCGAGACCGAATTGGACTCATCGCCGTACTACAATGGAAGCGACGGCAACAATGCAACCCGCGGGAGGAGGCTAGGCACACCCACACGAACACGATGAGAGCTAGAGCCATCCGCTTGTGCCGCCGGCAAGTTATATATTTTCCTCTTCTTCTTTTGATGAAATGGAAGCAGGGTCATCAGTAGTGCATGCGTACAAGTACGTGCACTCACTCAGACAAGCTTGAACGGAAAACGAAAAAAACGAGGAGAAGCCAGCGACAACATGCACGTGCGTAGTACCAAACGAGCGACGATTTGCGTGTACGTGCAGCCGATGGAGCGACGACTGTCGTTTTTGGGCGCGTGCACGTGATTACGCCACGGAACGAGAGAGAGAGAGACTTGCGGCTGATGGATGGACCGACCGAACGGATTCGCTCGTTCGCGGATTGGATTGGCACGCATCGCATGCATTCGTTTCCTTCCAACCAAGAGTTGCTCGACTCGCCAACCTTGAATGGTTAGAGAGACTTTAGTATCCCTAACCCAGCAGAGTTCAAATTCTGGTACTCGCATTTATTTTTAGATTTATTTCAGAAATTTCGGCGATGCGCCAGCTCAGTCTTTCGGAGAGGGGTAGGATGCGTGTGTGCGACATGGCCGTCCGCCGGTGTATAGTAGTAGCTCGTTTGTTTTTAGTTTCTTGATTGACGGATGAGCACGCGGGCGTACGTACGCAGGATGGCACACAGCTGCAGTCCAAGTCGGTGACGCAGAACGCCTACGTGGCTGCGGAGAATGGCGGCGGCGCGGGGCTGGTGGCAAACCGGCCGCAGGCGTCTGGCTGGGAGACCTTCAAGCTGTGGCGGGTCAACGAGGTGAAATTCAATTTCAAAGTGTTCGGCAACCAGTTTGTGAGCGTCCAGAGCGACGGCTCGCTGGTTGCGACGGGGGTAATGCCGAGGCGGCCGGAGACTTTCCAGTTGGTGCGCAGCCCCAACGACAAGTACAGGATGCGGATCATGGCGCCTAACGGGTTCTTCTTGTAGGTAAAGATAATAAGAAATACTTCCACTAGCATGTTGGTCTGCTCTGCAGTACTCGTATTATTTGCCAACTGGGCAACAAGTGTCTGCCAGCAAGGTGCATGCATGTGCGTTCAAAACCAATACTCCATTATTCAACCTGAGCCTCCAACGTTGACTTGTCTAGGGAATTTTTTTTTGCGATGGGACTTGTCTAGGGGTTTTGACTAGCACAAAAAAAAAGTAATTAGAAATCTCATTTTCTTTCATAATCCAAACTATTAGTCACATTCTGTTGGTGGCGTGCAGGCAAACAAAGATGGCACGTTGACGACGAACTATGGCCAGAGCACCAGCTGGGGCGACGACGACCCGTCGGTGTTCGCGGTGACCAGAGTTTCTGGCCTCCAAGGGGAATACCAAATCTGCAATGGCTATGGGACGGCAAAAGCTACACCTATTCTCAGGGTAAAATAATACATTTAACATCACTGTGGCCACTGCTCAGTGAGCAACACTCGTAAATTATGCATGCTTATCATGCATGATGCGGAGATCACTGTCCTCGGTGGTTTCCCTCCTCATTGATTCTCTTGTGTTATTATATATTAGTCCACTTGCACGAGGAAACCAAGAATGAGTCCTAGTGGCGATCATTGTGCCGATAATCTGATTTGATACACCTAGTTTGAAATTATTGCATAAAAAACCAACTCGAAGTGGGAACTATTCATGGCACCTAGTGGCGATCATTGTGCCAAGAACTCAGTATTATATTATCTAACTGATTGTGTGTTTCTATTATTACTATTTTTGCGAGAAGTGTGGTTTTATTGTCTTGACAAGGTAGATACCCAAAGTTGGCAGGGTTCATAGCTAAACTAGGAATAAGTATCATTTCTCTCTCTCGAAGTTAGGAATACATATCATTCTTGGCACGTCAATTTTTTGGAATGTTACATGTTTGGCAGAAACACTAGAGCACATATATAGTGGAAGATGACTTCGGATTCATCTCCGAAAGCGGGTTGATCGCAGTGAGAATACCAGTGGGATGATGGATCGCTAACGACCCCAGGCCTCCTGCACCCTACGTTGGAGGTTCACTTGAAACGTTGGACAAGGCATTCATATGGGCGGAGTAAGCAACCTTCAGAAACTTGTAATCTAATGGTGCTAAATGTAGAAACCAATGATCGGGTCAACTTCCAGAAATTTCAAGCCAGGGGTTGATCTTGGCATCATCTTGAGCAAACTAAAGCTTCTGTTATCTAATTACATTTTGGCCAGGGGTTAATCCTCCTTTTTTAAACATCTAATTATTTTAGGGCATATTTGGCTTTATAAATGCTCAATTTATGTGCGTAAACAGGAAGTACAATCTAGGCGTCATCATTGACCTACAAGCAGCTCCTGGGTTGCAAAACCCCTTTGAGCATAGTTCCTACAAGGATGGTTCACAAGACTGGGGCACCACCGATGCTAACAACATAGAAACCGTGTAAGTGATAGATTTCCTTGCATTCAGGTACGCTAAAAGTCCAAGCCTCCTCTCTATTGAGCTGATGAACGAGCCGCTGGCGCCCGGGGTGTCTCTGGAGAGCCTGGAAACGTACCATCGCGATGGGTACAACACCGTCAGGAAGTACTCGTCGGAGGCCCACGTGATCATGTCCAACTGTTTGTCATCCCCGGACCCAACAAAGATCCTCGGGCTCGCCGGCGGGTTACCCCGATCTGTCATCTATGTGCATTACTACGTGTTGTTCAACAACATGTTTGATAGTTTCACCGTTCAGCAGAACATTGATTTTATCAAGACCAACTACTCAAGCGCTCTCAGCACTGTGACGAAACAAAATGGTCCTCTCAGCTTTGTAGGTGAGTGTAACTAATATTTTGGCCCCTTTTGGTTTTGGAGCATGTAAATTTTTTATCCCAATTTCTACAAGAATTTAGTGAAAGTATTTGATGTGCCATGTATGGCATGTTCTCCACAGGTGAATGGGTGTTTGAGTGTCAGGTTCGCAATGCAATGAAGGAGGAGTTCCAAATGCTTGCAAATGCACATATGGATGTGTATGGGAAGGCAACGTTTGGGTGGGCCTACTGGAATCTCAAGAATGTGAACAACCACTGGAGTATGGAGTGGATGATCAAGAATGGATACATCTCCTTGAAAAACTAGGATATGTTTGCTATGTGTCGTTACTCATGTCTCTTGAAATAAGTCTATAACGACTCATGAAACTAAATTCTAGAACAATGGATACATCTCTAGAAAAATGATTCGAGTTGAATAAAATTGTAGTATTTGGCCATTTGCAACACATGTCTCATGTGTATAAATATATATCCCCTTTTCTCCATGAGCTTAGGCTTGGGTGAACCGTTTGGTGCATGTAATTCAATATGGGAGTCTATGATAACTAGTTGATACCCCGTGCATTGCTGTGGGAACAATAATTAATTTGATGTTTAAAAACATGAGAAAGTTTATGAAAGGTAGTATAAGTTGATGACAAAAAATATTTTAAAAAAATATTGTTCAGAGTAAGCATCTAATTTTTTAATTAAAAAACCAAAAATGAGTGTGATTTTTGTTCTGTTAATTTATACCTTAACAATATACCAGCTAGGTGATACGACACAAAAACAACATTGAGTAGAGATAGTGGAGACATCTCAACTCCTGGCTAAGCTAAAATAACAGTATCAACTAAAGATGCACATTCATTAAATAACATAGCTCACATGGAAATATAAAAGGGGACTTCACTCATAATTTGATTTTATTTAAATAAGAAGCTCGCTTATAAATCACGAGGCCTAGTATTGAGTAAATCATGCTTCTGGCCACAATATACCGAGGTAGTTCTACTTCTTTTTGTTTGTCTTGTCTGGTGTGCAGCCATGCATGCTTCGCCATTAGGTGAAGCTTAGTTTCATCATAAAAAATATCCTGGTTAGCTCACTACAAAATGTGGACTATTTTATGATGGTTCACTTGTGTCACGTAAAAAATTATCGTCACCAGGCCTGGTCACGTTTTTCGGCCGTCACCCCCACCGTCACTAAAGCGTCGTCACAGAAAATAATTTTTTGACAATGCCACTTTTTTGTCACGCAAGTTCGCATCTTAGGTGACGAACTTAATCTTGTCATTGACGGCCAATTTTGGTGATGGGCCAAATCGTGACCTATGGAGCCAATTTTTCACCTAAGATCATTATTGGTGACGGCAATCCGTTGCCAATAATCGGTTCATGCATTTCATGTGGCATGGATGACATATTTTCCGTGGGAGAATGGGTGGCTAAGTGGAAGGTGCCCAATGCAGTGAAGAAAGAGTACGAGATGTTTGCAAATGCAGAGATGGATGTATATGGGAAGGCAACATTTGGATGGGCCCATTGGACTCTCACAAATTTAAACAACCACTCGAGTATGGATTGGATGATCAACAATGGATACATCTCCTTGAAAAGCTAGGGTATGTTTTCTATGTGTCTTGAAATAAATCTGTAACGACTTATGTGTAAGTGCAAGTGTCACTTATATTATATTTTGGTGTGATAACAATGTCGTTAGTGGAACTAATATCAATTGCTATGGTTTATCTCAAGATATTGGTTCGATGTTATCATTGATTGAAGTGTGCGACCCCCAATTCAAAAATATCAAAGGCGTGGTTTACCGGTGACTCAAAGGTTTTCTTTTGGTTCCATTTGAGTCGTAGGAAAAAGCACAGTACTAAGAGGGGTCATTATGGATTTATGTCGTGTGGGAATGCCATCGTCAAAACCATATACACAAGCCTTCCCACTCCTACCACCATATTTTCACTTGTGTGCTAGCTGTGGTATCCAAGAAGTTACAACTGAAGTTTCTGGATACCCCGTGTGCACGGGGTCGACCCCCGTGCGCACGGGGTCGACAGGAACTTTCTGGGTACCCTGTGTGCACAGGGTCTTTCAACCGCCATGCGCAGGGGGGGGTGCGTAACTCCGAGGGTACCCCGTGCTCACGGGGTCTTTTGACCCCCGTGCGCACGGGGTGTTGCATATCTTCTTGGGTACCCCGTGCACATGGGGCTGACTTAGCCTGTGCACACGGGGTCCAATGGGTAGAAACGGTCACCCAGCCAAGAACACTAAAAAAACCTTCTTCTTCCTCCATCTCAAACCCTAATATATTGTTGAGCTCCACCATTGCTACATCTCATTTTGCTCAATACTCTCAATCCCTCCACCCAAACTTGCTGAAACTTTCGGGATTGGGAGAGCTAGACGCAATCTACACTTTGACCAAACCAAATCGCGTTCCCCGCAATATTCATCCACCATTTACTTGTTACTCTTGGAGCTTGGGCTCCTAGGAAGTTAGATGTTCCTCCGGAAGCTTCCTTGCTTGTGGTGTGCTCTGGAGAAGTTTGTAAAGGTGTGGTGGTTGCCTTCAAGACCAACCCCGAGCGATTCGAGGCTCATCCGTTGGGGGTGACTCGATAGAGATTACGAGCCTTCGGTGGCGTTCCGCAAGCTTTGGCTCCGACACTGCTCTAAATGGAGAGTAGATCGTCTAGAAGGAAGAGTGAACTTCGGGATAAAATCCGCGTCCTCGTCTCACTTGTGGTTAATCATTTCCCGCACTTTACTTTGCAAATTAGTTTATTGCCTAGCATATTTAGCTTTAAGCTTGCTTGTCATATAGGTTGTGTTCACCTAGTTGCATATCTAGTGAAACCTATTTATCCGCTAAACCTTAAATTTGACAAGAAACATTAAAATTTGTAGTCTCCAATTCACCCCCCATCTAGTCGACCGTACCGATCCTTTCAATTGGTACCGGAGCCTCGTTCTCTAATATAAGTTTTTACAACCTTAGAGGATATGGTTGATCTAGGGAATGAGGGAGGTGTCGCACCACTTGCACGGGATGGTCAAAAGCTATACCCACGCCGCGACCGATGCACTAGCTGCTTCGGTCGATGCTCCCATCGCCTCCATTAATCCAAGTGCCACCTT